ATTCAGACTGTTATTAATAAATATGTAGCTTCTTTTTCTTTGGGAAAACACCAAATGGCAAAGATGCCAGTGCAGCAGGAGGGCCTGGAGGACCCAGGGGCCTAGGATTAGGAGGCTCAGGCAGTGGTCTTAGGGGCCACAGTTGTAGCTGAGGCTGTGGCTGTGGTTGAGGCCACCAGGCTCGTGTAGGTCAAGCGCAAGACAGGGAGGGGATCCCTGTCACCAAGGCGGGCTGCCTGGTTAAGGACATGGAGATCAAGTCCTTGGGGGAGATCTACCTTTCCCCCTGCCCAAGGAATCAGACATTATTGATTTTTTTCTGTGACCATCCCTAAAGGGTGAGGTTCTCAATGTCATGGCATTGCAGAAACGGAGTAGGGCTGGCCAGTGGAAAAGACAGGCTCAAGGCTTTTGACATTATTGGGACTACAATGGTCATGTTGGTCTTGGTTTTAAGTGCTCCAAGGAGGTAGCACTGCCATCCAAGAGGCCATCAATCAAGCTTTCCATCATCCCTGTGCAGAGAGGCTACTGGGGGAACCAGATCAGCACACTCCACACTGTTCCATGCAAGGTGACAGGCCCCTGTGGCTCTGTTTTGGTGCATCTCATCCCTGCTCCCAGAGGCACTGACCTCGTCTCTGCTCCTATGTCCAAGAAGCTACAGCTGATGGCCCTTATTGATGACTGCTACACATCAGCCAGGGGCTGCACTGCCAACCTGGACAGCTTTGCCAAGGCCACCTGTGATGCCATCTCCAAGACTTACAGCTACCTGACCTCTGGAAAGAGACTGTGTTCAGCAAGTCTCCTCCTTATCAGGAATCCACTGATCATCTTGTAAAAACACACATCAGAGTCTCTGTTCAGAGAACCAGGCTCCAGCTGAGGCTATCACATAGGTTTTTTTTTTTCTTCCCCACAGGTGTTACATATTTATTTTCTATTTATAAGCTCTAATTCAGCAGTTTTCTACCCATTGGTTGTAACCCCCACAGGGGTCATATATCAGATATCCTGCATATCAGATATTTACATTATGATTCATAACAGTAGAAAAATTACAGTTATGAAGTAGCAACAAAATAATTTTATGGTTGGGGTCATCATAACATCATATTGGGGTTTTTATATAAGGAAAAACAAAGTGAATTAAGTCTGTTAAAAAAAGAAATATGGAAATTAAGAATATATGTGATAAGCTATGCGAACTGTTTCTGGAGTAGAAAAAGTAGGGTAGAAATGATGTACCTGGGAATTAACAACTTCTGTAATATGAGAAAAATACAGAACATATTTATTATAACACATTAGATATTACAAAAAAGTAAAAAAAATGATCAAAAAAGAACCCCCATATTTCGTGCATCCAAGGCCTAATACTATTAATCCACTGGTGTCATTTCTTTGGCCTTCTCTTTGTATTCAACTTTACGCCATTGAAGTATGATCTATGCATTCTATATTTTACTTTTCTTAACAAAGACATTTTCTCATTCATATATTTCATAAATATTATCAAGGCATCTTATTATTTTATAATCAGTAAGATATTTTTAAGTTTAACAGTTTAGATTTTCCTTCAATATTTGAGTAAAAACATTTCTAAACCTAGAGATGTACCTCGAGATGTATTACCTCGAGTACATCTCTATCATAGACCCATCACCTGAGTGCTATAGTTAACATTTTACTGTATTTATGTTTTCATGTATCTATCAACCTATCTATTTCCCTACTCATTCATTGATACATTCTGTGTTCTGAAGCTCTTCAAAATAAACTGCAGTTTATAAACTTTATCCTAACTATGTCATCAGGCATACACATTAGCCAGCATTCATGTTTACAGTTCCTTTTAAAAGTAACGTGATGCACCAATCTTCATTATGTCATTTGATGGACTTGGACAAACACATATTTCTATGTAACTCCAATTCCTATCAAGATGCAGATGGCTGCAGTCACTAAACCATGCCCCTTTCCTCTTAATTCACAGCCCTCTCCTCAGAGACTGTCACTGTTCTGACTTATAAACTCTGTCCTAGAACTTTATATAACTGAAATGATATGAATATCCTTTTTTTGTTGTTCTCTTTTAACGTAATATAGTGGTTTTGAGATCTATGTGAGGCTTTTTTATTTGTTACACTTTTATTGCATACTTTGGGCTGTTTGTTCCTTTTTAGCTTCTTCAGATGACAAACAAAATTACTGATTAATATTGTTTCTTCTTTTTACAGTAAATACGGCAGGCCACAGGCTTCCGCAAAGGTCCAGTAACTGCTGAATATAATTTTAATATATTTTCATAATAATCAGTAACTGTTTCATGGTTTGCTTCATGGTTTATCTTTGATCTATAGATTATTTTAAAATGTGTTAATTTGCAAAGCTACATTTTATAGATGTTGTATGACTAATATTTATGTAATCAGAAATATAGTCTATGGGATTTTAAGCTGGAAATATATATGTATATTTGTATACATGTATATGTATATATGTATAAATGTATATATATATATATACATATATGTGTAATACTTGTATTCATATATATGCATATATATTCACCACACATATATGTACCACATTGTCATTTTCCATTCATATATATATATGGGTGTTTGTGTGTGTATGTATGCATGTATGGATTATGAAATGCTAGTCAGCTGTAATGAAAAAGGAAATAATGAACTTGGCAGATAATGGACTGAACTAGAAAAAAATCATATTGAATAATGTGACCAAGACCGAAAAAGGAAAATGTTACATGTTATCCCTTTTTGACAACTCCTAACTCCAAATATTCAGGTGTGAGTATGTACCCTGATCCTATAGTATCTGCAGAAACCAGAAAAGTTAATGGGTCCATTGCCAGGGTAAGAGGGTTGGGGAGCTGTAACAAGGTACATGTGATCTGATCAGGGAAACTGGAAAGGAGGCTCTTTAGGGAGGGGAGAGGTAAACACAGAATAAAGATGGAGAGGGAAAACAGAATAGTAGGATACAAGTGACCTGACAGAGGAAATGAGAAAGGGGCACTTTAGGGAGGGAGAGGGAGGGGAACACCAAAGGAGGGTAAAATAACAATAAGGATGTCTGATAAAACCGTAATAAGTCATAATCTTGGTCTTTAGAGGAACCTCCAAACTGACTTCCACAGTGATTGTTACAGTTCGTACTCTCATCAGGATCACCTAGAGGTTCCTTTCCAGTGTTCCTTGCTTTAGTGAGAGGCATACTGACAAGGATGAAATGAAATCTCAAAGTGCTTGGTTTGTTGATGTTTAACTTCTTCAGTTTTTATATGTTCTAGATATTAGCCCTCTGTCAGAGGTAGGGTTGGTGAAGATTTTTTTCTCAGTCTATAGGCTGTGTTTTTTTTTTGTTTTGTTTTGTTTTTTTGTTTGTTTTTTGTTGTTGTTGACAGTGTCCTTTGCTTTACAGAAGCTTTTCAGTTTCGTACAGAGCTAAACAGCGAATTCTCAATAGAGGAATATCAAACACCAAAGGAACACTTAAAGAAATGCTCAACATCTTTAGTCATGAGGGAAATGCAAATCAAAATGACCCTGAAATTCCATCATATACCCACCAGAATGGCTAAGATCAAAAACTCAAGTGAGAACACATGTTGGAGAGGATGTGGAGAAAGGGGAACCCTCTTTCATTGCTGGTGGGAATGTCAACTTGTACAACCACTCTGGAAATCAATCTGGCACTTTTTCAGAAAATTAGGAATAGTGAGTGCTACCTCAAGATTCAGCTATACCACTCCTGGACATAGATCTGAAAGATGCTCAACCATACAACAAGGACATGGACTATGTTCATAGCAGGTTTATTTGTAATAGCCAGAACCTGGAAACAACCTAGATGCCCCTCAACCGAGGAATGGATACAGAAATTGTGGTACATTTACACAATGGAATGCTACTCAGCAATTAAAAACAATGAAATTTGCAGGCAAATGAATGGAACTAGAAAAGATCATCCCGAGTGAGGTATCCCAGGAGCAGAAAGACACAAAAACAGGATGAAGGACAAGAATTTCTGAAAAAAAAAATTGAAACTTGTTGTTTAGATAAACTGAATATAAATATAGGCTGAAACAGTTCTCACCTGATTTGAGTTATTGACTACCAACAACCCAAAAGTCCTTTGTGGATATTTTAATCAATATTTTATCCTCTTCTTTTTCTTTCACAATTTCATTGTACCAAAATGGACCCACATAAAACAGGAGACAGACAAGTAGGAGTGGCAGGGTACAGAGTGGAAAACTGGACCTGAACTGCATCCTTTGAGAAGTGACTGAGACGCTGTGGGAGGAGAAAGGGATTCCAAAACCCAACACTGTGGCAAAGACACCAGAGGAACACTTACAGAACACTTAAGTGTATGTTCTGGATAGCTACCCTGCCAAGGTGAGCCACACTCAAGATGACTGGGCTTTTCAATATGAGCCTCTTCCTGGAGGGTTGAGGTTATCCCTTTTCCTGAAGCTACTTCATTTTCTTCATATGTTTTCTCTTCTTAGCCTACTTTATATTATAAAATTTCTTGGTGCTAATTAAAACCACAGGTAGTAATATAATAAAGTATTTCCATTTTCACATGATATATTAAACAATCAAAACTGTTTCCTCTCTTAAACAGGAAAAAATTATTTCCAAAAGGAAAGCCCCTAGGGAAATGGTGCCACATTTAATCTCCATTACCCTTCATTCCTGACAGATTAATTTAAGCGTGTACAGTAATAGTGAGATTTCCAAATTGTGTCAGTATTAGGGCGGTTATGATTTTGAAAATAACAACATAAAATCATTGCACATCAGACATATGTTCTAATAATAGCTTTAGAGGTAATTTCAATTTTTCTTGAAAGATAAAGGGTGGTTTATTGAATGTCAGCTGTGAACTTGGTGACAGTTAATTATCTTCCATTTCATAGCAGCCGATAATAAGTGAGATAAAAAATGATGAATACCTACTGTTGCCAGGTAACTGCATCTACTGTGCTTCCTGCCACCTTCATGAACCTGTAGGGAAAAAAGGATGGTGTGACTTAAAATAACCATATCTCCAAAGCTAAAATAAGATGAAGCAAGAAATACACTGGGCCAGTCCACATACAGACACACTTTCTCAGAGGACCCACAGCCCCAGCAACAAACACCAGAATCTTAGCCCAGCACTTCACCTACATCTGTCTTCCTAAGTAGAAGACTGACATATCTGTGTTATTTTCTATTCTCCAAAGACTGAACTCTGCTGGGTTCAGTCTATTATGGTGCTTCCTGAGGAGGGCACCATAATAGGTGCCTTTGAAAAACTGCAGGCCTATCTCCCTGGAGAAAGCATGGAAAAACCCAACTTATTTATACATCTGTAAGGCACTATCGAATATGTTCCAATGCAAAGCTGCCCCATCTGTGTGAAACATGAGCACAACAAAGTAACAGATCCGGAACAGCTAAGCAGAGAACTCAGCATCCTCTATCAAGTATGCCCAGCTCAAAAGTGGAGGGAGGGCTGGTTCTGGGCAGCTAAGTACACAGCAAAAGCTTGTGAGCCATCGCTCACTGACGTGTGTGACCTCGAGGAGGTCCAGAAGAGCCGAAGCCGGGAGGGTAATTTGTGATTCACAGATGCCATGGCCACATGTTTGAAATAACCGTCTGTCCCTGCTCACTTGTCTGAGGACATGCGCTGCCATGGCTGCTCCTCTTTTTGAGAGAGAGTTATTACTCAAAACCAGGAATCAAAGGAGACGTCTCAGTTCTTTCAGCTGCTCCTTGCAGCTTCGAGACTCCAAAAGGCAACTTTTTTTTCAGACGAAACATTGAATTTTGCTTTATAACCAAAGAACTCTTGAACCAGAAAAGGAAACAGCTTCATTTCTGGAAGACCCTAGCTGTAGCCTACCTGAGCAGAATCCTTCTAGACAGACAGATGGGAAAAGTGGGTTACTAGGAGCAAACCAAAAGGTTCTGTTTTGCTATGATAGTGGGAAAGGAATCAGTCTACCTGTAGAGCAAAGTGAACAACGGTGGAAACTAGGACTTTTGGTTAGCCTCAAAGTGAGACTTATTAAAAAAAAAAAAAAAAAAGAAAGAAAGAAAGAAAAAAAGGAAAGGGAAAAGTGTAGTGGAAGTTTTGGTGTCTTTAAAAAACTCAGTTATATTATTGTAAACATGTTTTTGTTTTAATCCCAGGAATGGGATACAGGACTGATTCAGATTGTCCACAGCAGCAAACTATTTGAGAGGGGCTTTTGGCTACTGCAGATATTTTAATTCTGAGGACTTTGGAAAGGGAATAAATGCCAGAGCTCAGAGAAAGCTTTGAGAAAGAAGAATGCTGCTGTTCCCCCCTTCTGCTCCTGGTTGTTGTTGATGCAGTTTGAAAAGAAGTAATTAATAAAAAAAAAAATAAAAAAAAGAAATGCCAAAAAAAAAAGAAAAGAAATAAGAAGATAAGGAATAAAACATTTGCTAAGGAGGAAAAAAAAAACCCAAAAAACAAAAAACAAAACAGCATGGCTTTCCACTGCTTTTTCTCTCAAAAAGGAAACAAAAGATTAGAATTGAGTCATAGATCCAGTGTGAAATACAGGGCATTTCAATTAAGATTCAAAGTTGACTTTTTAAAGTGTTGTTCAAGTCAAATGCTACCCAATGTCAATTGCTTCCAGCTGTTGAACAGGTTTGTAGAGCTATAGGTCATTGTAACAACATTGTCTGCGACACTTCTTAATTTTACTTTTAGAACTCAGAAGATTAATCACAAATATATTATGGATTATGAAATAAATAAACAATAGATGAAAAAAAATATATCCTGACTACGAAGATTAGACTTGTACCAAGGAACTCAATGACCCTAACCAGCAGGAAGTAGCTAAAGAGAACTATGCCACCTCTCCTCACTAACATTTTTTCTCTCCTACCTGGTGGTGGGGTGTTGGAAGGGATTGGGGTGCATAGGGAGAAAGAGGTATAAGAAATAGAAATAAAATAGTTTTAAAACAGAGAAGAGGACTGACTAGAGAGAAGCATCCAACAGGGCAGCAGGAATAGCTGGAGGAAGAAGCAGACACTTGAGTGGTCTTAGATTGGATTTTCTATTTATGTTTTTGCTTTTCTGTCTGTAGTACCACTCTGAAATCCAGAAGCAAAAATGTGGAAACTATAATACAGTATGTAATTTAGAATGGAATTAGTTTGATGGGTTGAGTCAAAATTTCAATGTGGGTTGGTAGATACTTAGCATTTCTGAGTACCTAGTTAGTACCCACTATGTGTGTGTGTGTGAGAGAGAGAGAGAGAGAGAGAGAGAGAGAGAGAGAAATTTCTTACACTTCTTAACATTGCTTTGCTTGCTGATGAGGATGCTAGATTTTATTAATCTTTTACACAGGTAATACACAGCTTCTTTATTGGCTAGGAGAGTAGAATTTTCAGCTATCGCACACCGATCTTATGTGGGTTACGGCCCTTCACCTCAGTTTCCAGCAGCAAAATCCTGTTTGGGTTTGTCAGGGTTGCTCATCCTCCCCCTGCTTTTGTGCTGTGTCCCCTTCAGAATTAAAAAGCCAGAAATGTTTATGTACTTGGTCTTTTCATCCTGGTATGTGCTACCCTAATCAATAAGCACACAGTCAGCATCGGTCAAAATGCAGAAAAAGAAAACGAGAGACAACAGGGTCAAAGGAAATGAATGAGAATCCCCAAGACTCTTTTTGCTACATATGTAATTAAGCATTGGAGACCTGAAGATGCCCTAAGGAGTTGGATGGCCTAGAGATAAATAGAGGGAGAAGGAATTCTTAATCTTCTCTTCAGGATATTGTAAAAATCAGAAAATTTAGACAGTCTTACATGTAAGCACCATTAATTTTTTTAAAAGAAAAAAAAAAAAGACCCAAAGATTTAAACATACATTTGCATGGGATTTACTCCTCCAAAATATTTACTATCATATCTGAAATAGAAACAGTTTATGAAAAACTGTCTTCAAAAATCATATAAAAACAACCACAATGAAACCGACACATTCTTATAAACTGTTTTCAGCTTCTTATATGTGTAAATCACATACTCTCCCAAAAGAAAACAATTAGGGAGATGTTTCTGTTTACGCACGAAAGGCCACATCTTACAAGGGATATTTGAGTTGTTCAAATTCACACAGCCAATGTGGACTAAGACCTCATTCTGATTCCAAATCCAGCCCGATTTTTGGCATCCTGTGAGGCCTCTAAGCTATTTTTACTAGATCTGAGTAGTATAGTAGAACTTTAAAATGCAAAAGAAAGCTGGTCATGGTGGCACACACTTTTAATCCTAGTTGGGAGGCAGAAGCAGTTGTATATCTATGAGTTTGAGGCCAGCCTGGTCTACAAAGAAAGTTCTAGAACAGCCAAGGCTGTTACATGGGAAACCTTGTCTTGAAACACAAAAACACAAAACAACAAAACAAAATAAAACAACAACAACAAAAAGCAAAATAAAATGTTGAAATTTTATGTTGAGAAAATACAATATACAAAATACATGTTTATTAGGAAAAAAAATCATGGGCTAAATACCTCTTTTCCCTTTCTGTTTTTTTTTTTTTTTTTTCTCCTCAAAATGTAAGTTCTTCAGTGTTTATTTGCAAGCAAATGTGCTGAATGTGTACACTGGAAGGTGTCCCAGTCAGTTCCAAGTAACAGAACCAGCACGATGGAACTCAGGAGGCAGAAAGGTAACAGCTGACTGCGAAAGTCACTGTGTGTTACTCTAGCACCAAACAACTGCTGTAGGGTCCGTCAAGAGAGCAGTTGACTCTGTTGTCTGTGATGCTAGAAAGGACATATATCACCCTGAACAGCACCTGGAAGGAGAAAACAGCTTGTACTATAAGGAAAAGCCTAGTTTATGACAGGAATGAACAAAGACATGCTGTGTTCTCAGGGTGCAGTGTGGCTGGTTGCCAAGAAACAGGCAAGGGGACAGCAGGAGGTCAGACTGGTCAGGGCTCTAGTAAGTAGCCTATCATAATAATCTGATCTTCATCCTCACAGTAAGATGCACATCCAAATCCCATTTATGTTTGTATGACTAGCTGCCAGCAGAGCTATGAAATATGGCTAGTGTATCCTTAATGAGTGTGTCCCTCATGTATGGTTGTTCAGTTTATCCTATGTTTAGACTAAATAACATGTCAGGATCAGCTTTAGCTTTCAGGAAGATTATTCTGGCTGTGGTAAATGTGAAAGTTACTGGTGGGAGCAGATTGGCAGTAGTCTACAACAGAGGGATGAGAAGCTTTGAATTGGGACAATGAAACATGATTAGAGCAAGAGAGGCTGTGGAAAATTTTAATTGTAGCACTATTGAGATATTTCTAGCAGAAAATTCTAATCCTATTGAAGATTCACTGAAGAACTAGAAATAGTCACTGAGCATAGCAGCTATGTTGTGGTCAAGAAAATTAGTACAAAGATCATTGATGTCCTGCTTGGCCAAAGGCTCTGGAATGTCTTTAAAAAGGCAGGCAGTTTTCCATGATGAAAACTGGAAACCAAGTCTTCGTGATAGTTTCATTTTAGAGACCTGCATATGTATTTGATGATTTGTTCTGCTAAATATGTCAATAAGTACTTTAATAAATCATTCTTAATTAAACTAATATCATACATAGAATAGGAAAGCTATAAAGTTGGGGATATTAAAATAATGTCAATGATTTCTCTCTATATAAATTAAAATATAAGATATGATAAGCCCATAAATATAATATTTAGAGAACTTACAGAGGAATATCTTAAAATAAAATACAGTAAAAAACTATGATAATTTTGAAAAGGAAACAATTTATTTCTTACATTAGCTTATGTATTTAATGTAAATGAAATGTAAATAAAAAGTTCCAGTAGATATTCTTGAAGCCTTACAAAGTCATTCTAATTTTTTCCTAAAAGAAGCCAAGAAAATTCTGATAAACTAAAATAATAAAGATGTGTCTATTTGTTCTATCACATTAATACATATTA